ATTTACCGCATTGATCTGATAATATCTATGGAAATGTCAAATACACACTTTTTAACTATCGTCTTTAAAAATAACAAAAATTAATAAAATTAGTTTCGATACTTCTGATATACAACTGGTCATTTTTTTCGCCAAAGGCTAACATTAGGGACGATCGCACTTACGTTCAGAAAATATTGTTATTTTTCTTAATGGGGAAAATTGGACTCCCGCGACTTAGATCTGTGGTTTTTAGAACTGGGATGGAAATTGGACTGACACCACTTTGCACTTTAACAATCGGATTTCGTCAGGGTACAAGTTGTTTGTTTAACCCGACAGCTCCGTGCACCCCGTCGCACGCTTTTACACACTCATTAAAACGATTATTCACGACCTGTCGAGTGTTTTCTCGTTCATTCACAGGAAAGACTTAGCGCTCTAAGATTCAAGAGCATACGGTCAGCTATACCACTGGCCGAGGGGAGAGATTACTTATCTCTGTGATCATCTGATGCGAGGTTGTCTTATCTCTACAGGTTGTAAAGCAGCAGTTCCTGGAGGTAAAAGGAGGGGGAAAAAAATCCTCCCCCCTCCCCGCCAAAACTTGCCGAAAGCAAAATACGAGGAAGATAAGTGAAGAAGGGCTCAACACTTGCTCAGCACCGCGCGCGGGTCCCGTTGCCGCTCCCCAGCCCGTGGCGGGGGCTCCCGYCGCTCCGCTCCCCGGGCAAACGGCGGCCAGGGCGGCGGGGGCTGAGCCCCGCGGGGCAGCGCGGCCGCCGTGGGCCCTGCCGAGGCCGCCTTCCTCCCTGCACCTGGCTCTCACAGCGGCCCCCGCCAGCTATCCCTGCTCCCGAGCTCGCTCCCAGCCGCCGAGGTGCCTGTGTCGGCGCAGTCGAAGCGGAGAGGGGAAAACGTTGATTAAAGCAGAGCCCTCCCCTGAACGGCTGCGAAAGAAAACGCGGGTATCGGCTGCAAAAGTGAGTTAAAAAAATAGATCAAAATGTCAGCCTTCTGAGATCCTGAGAGGGGATGGCTGGAAAACAGGCCGTTCAGAAGAGAGGCTGGGGCGATTCCTTTTGGACCGATTAAATCATTAAGCAAAAAAAGCAACTCAAAATATCGCCTGCTTTGAGGACTCTAATATTAGGATGCCGATCCCTCTGTTTTGTTTGGCTTTCTTTGGTAGGCTTTTTTTCTTCTAATATATCGATTCCTGATTTCGATATTCAGATTACCTCCAATCCTTACATTCCATCTATGAGGAAACCCCAGGGGCCACTCTGTTGCTGGGAAGGTGTTTTACACTTACAAAGGAAGCCAAGGGCCCGGAAGGCGAAGCACACATCAACTCCTGTTCAGCCTCTGCGCTCCAGAAACCCATTTTTCATTTGTAAAATATCTAAACATAATGCCCCTTTATTTAAATGAACCGACCCCGAATGCAACAAGGGATTTTAATCTGAAACGGTTTCCTAATTGCTCGAAAGGCAAGCACGTATAAGTAATTTGTTAAACTTATTGGATTGCAATAATCCACTATCAGGTTAGCTAAGAATGGATCTGTCAAGTGTGTTTCCCAGTCTAAGCTCTTTCTTTCAAACCAATCTGGTATAATAATTAGCAGACAAAGAACCCGAAATATGTAAGCAAATACCTAAAGATCTGCATAAATAAACATACTAATCAATAGCAAGCTACTCGACACTTGTCTTATTGATGAAGAGACAATCGATTTTGCTGTTCCAACCTGCAATCAGAGATCTGTATTTAATTATTAGTACTTTTACCTTCACTGATTTAGTAATGAAAATAGAGGTAATAAGTCCTTCCCTTCCACCTAAATGCAAATGATAGTGATGACATAACTAAAGGCAACTTATACTTCCCAGCAAAACAAACAACTTCGCTCAAACAGAATAAACAAGCAAGCAAGAAAAGAGCTGCCTTTTCTGATGAAAGCTACATGATACCTTCACAGGCAGAAAAGATCGAACAAATACATACATGCATATACACACAAGTGTGTACACGTGTATGTGTATAGCTATAGAAAGATAAATATAGAGGGGAAAGTTCATTGATAAAACAACAATGCCGTTTTTATTTGCAGAATTCTCATCTGTTTTCTCATAAACCCATATGAGTGTGTGTATACTATACACTAATAAAAATACTCTTGCCATTTTGTACCACTGTGAGTGTGGCACAACACAGTGGTACAAAATTTAGACTGCRTTTAGAGTCCTCTAGGTGCCCTCGCCATCAGAACTGCAGCTCAGAAACCTAAAAGGAGATTTATTTATGAGTAGCGTGTTGTGAAGTTACCTATGAGCCATAGCATTAAATATATAGATGATTATGAGATGCGCTTAACCATACCCTGCCACAGACCTCTCTAATAATCTGTCCTAGCTTTGCTTTGTTTGGGGTCTAGTGAAAAGTCTAATCGGAGCCATCATCCCCACTAAGAAATATATTGGTTTGGGGGTGAAAGAGTGTTTGGGTGTGCAAGGAGCACAAAAAGATGTGAGACGCAACTTATAGTATAGCATCACCAAGATTTTTGATTCCAATGAACAGTCTGGTAACCAGTGAATATTACACGTATTTAATTTGTAAAAGTATTCCATCCTTTTGGGACATGTCATGCTTCACAATGAGATTATGAATAATTTTTTATGAGAACTTTCTCTCTCTCTCTCTCTTTTTTTTTTTCTGGTTGTGTTCCAAGGCTGATAAAATGTTTTTCTTTCTTACTCTTATAACCAGACTTCGGTCAGACTTTTCTGCAGGTATGTGTCTCCTTTTGGATATGATTAATTTAGAAAACTAGCTAATATTAAATACTTGAGATGCGATGATTTCTGAATAAAAGCGGGTAAGGTGGGAGTGTGAGGTCGAGAGGCGACGGAGACGGGTTCTCTGCCTTCCACTAGCGACCAGTGCAAACTTTTAGTTTGGAGGACCTCCAAGTTAATGGGGAGCTCGGCGAGGTCTCCCCCGCGGGCCGAGTTCTGCAAAGCCCGTCTCTGGCCACCGTCAAGGGAGAGCTACCGGGAGCTCCCGAAAGGGAAGAGCTCCTTTCACGTGTTTCTACTTTCCTGTAAAAGATGCCCCTGCGAAATCATTTGTAAAGCTCTCTGAATTCCCCACAAAAGAAGGGGGGGGTGGGTAGAAATCAACCCTAGAGAGCCCAGGCTTCGTGTCTCCTTTGTAGTTCGAAATTCAGGCTCCCTGGTCAGGCGGCTCCGGGCGAGGAGAGGTTTCACCTCTCCGGCTTAGGTTAAGCAGTTCTTTGCTGCTAGCTTTACAGGGATGCTTTACTCACCTTAGGGTAGGGTGACAATGGCAGGCTTTTCTCAGACTCCCTCTCGTTTAGCCTTTCCTCTCAAATCACGGATAACCCCAAATACACTTGGAGGACTCCCTAGAGATAATTCTTTGAAATGGACTTTGCATTCATTTCCCCGATTGAGAGCAGCAAATCCGCTCGCTTTGAGTCTAATTCGCTAGCCTGATACTGTATTCTGTTACACGGTATTGAAGAGGGGGAGGAGGGGAGGTTGCTAGTATTTGTTTCGATTATTTGTTTTATTTTGGCAGTTTAATTATTTTCTTTATTTTTGTTTTTCAAGTTTTCGCAGGTTTGTTTAGCTCCAGTGGAGCGAGAGGTGAGTTTAGCAATCCTTTTCCTGGATCGGAGCATCCTGGACCAGTTCTTGGGAAGAAGACTTTAAACCCCTTTCCCTAGGGCAACATCTGTCTGTTGGTGGCTAGAGGAACGCAACGCTAGGTCTGCGTGGAGAAGGACGCTTCAAATCCTTCCTCCTTTCTGAAGGGAGGGAAGCGGCCCGCGCTCAGGCCCTGCAAGTACAAACGCCTGCCGTCTGCACGCCGCCGTTTTACCGCCCGCCGGGGGTGCCGGGCCGCGGGAGAGGCCCCGAGCGAACCCCGCGGCTGGCCGGGCTCGCTGCGGCCGCTGGCCGGCCCGGCGGGGCGGCTCTCCCGCGGACCAAGAGCGCCCCCAACCCGCGGAAGGCGCAGCGCCGCCGCCGCGCCGCGCCTGCCCCCGCGCCCCGCGGACACGCGTGTGCGGGCACCGCGGCTCCCAGGGTCTGGCCGAGCCGGGCCCCGCCGTGCMGGAGATACGCGAGTGCGGACGCCGCTCTCCGCAGCGCAGGGAGCGGGGAGCTCCACCGGGGCCCCGCGGCACCCACGAGGCGTCCCCGGACGGGTTCGCGCCGGACGCACGGCACGCCGGCGGATCTGTCACAAGTCACCRCCGGCGTGTGCTGTGCGTGTGCGAACGCTCGCCTCCGTGCACCAGCGCCTGTTTCTGCCATGCCAAAGAGAAAGGCGCTCAGTACCGCTGCCCCCTGCGCTGAGGTGTCCCAAGCGCAGCGTCACGGAAAACTCAACTTGCTGTATGTTTGAAAAATTAATCGTTTTCATGAGGTCAAAAATGGCAGGAGCGAAAGGGGTCAAAGTAATCCGCCGGGTGGACACCAGCCGTGGCTCTTCCCCTGTCACATCAGGGCAGCAGAAAAGAACAAGTCGGTCCACGGAGGGCCCCATCCTGAGTCCTGCCCACGCACCAGCGCGCCTGCCCCCACCCGCAAGGATGAGCATGCTGAGCACATCAGTTTTTCAGTCGTTTAAACTTCCTCCCCTATTTTCCGAGATTTCGGCACGTACATCTCCACATATACAGAACGCAGTCATGGAATTTGGGGAGTGGGAAGACAAAGGGAGAGTGCCTGTAGCTCTCCCCATGGGCATGAGCGTTGCCCGTGATTGCTTGTAAGGGCGCATTTTCGCCGCTGGAGCACTSAAAGCAGGACCCAGCTCAGTACGGCTCTTTACAAGGTCTCTCTCCTCCATTTCCCAAAATTTTTGGCATTTAGACGCTTTCCTGGAAATCTAGGGATACTATCACTCTTTGCACAACCCCGAAAGGTGCGATAAGCCTGTAGCTTTTTCTCAAATGACAGGCTCAGAATTTTTAGAAATAATTCATTACAGAATCCGCCTATACTCGCCATGCTAAAATCGTCTTTCATATAGCAGAGATGGATAAAGGACCAAATTTCCTCCCGGAATGAGTGGTGGAGGGGGATTTTGTGTAGCCCCCGTAATATTTTTGTGCTGTGACCAAAAATGCAGAGCAAGCTCAGGGATCTGCGGGAATGGCACTCTCTCCCATTCTGGTACCAGCGGACACAAATCTCAAGTGTAGTTACTTGATTCCTGAGTGTAAAAGAGGAATAAAATCCGCACTCACCCGGTGCCGTCGGAGGACTCCTATCCCCAAGTGCCATCGTGCGCCTTTCTTGCAGGTAGAGGCAGTTTCTCCTGGCATCTTAAAAAAGGCAAACACAACATTGCACCGTGTGACTTTCTCTGACATTGGTGGCAAACGAGCAAACAATGAGCACGTTAACAAAGCAAGCTAAAATATCTACAGATTAACCACAAGAACTGCTAAATCGGCGAAGAAACTTCCAACTTACCGATTGAAACGAAAGAGCCCGAGGGGGAGGGGGAAGGCCGGGGGAGGAAACACTTTGAGGAAGAGACCGAAAAAAAAAAGAGAGAGAGAGCGAAAATCCTGACATTAGGCACACGCAGTTTTGGTGTAACTGGTGCTTTGAAACTGTGCTTCGGTTGCACGGGCGATCTGCTTATCGGGGGGCACGGGGAAACAGTACGTTTAGACAGAAGTCTGTCATCTCTATTCATTCGTATCACATGGATCTGTCTGTGAGGATAAGAGGTAGAGAAGATTTTCTTGAAGTGCACCTACCCTTCTGGCGGGAAGGATTGCAGGGCAGGTTTCTTCTGGAGGGTCCCATCTCTCTGGAGTAGCTGAAGTGGAGTTGAGGGCAGGTTCTCCGGTGAGGTAGGAATGTGCAGGAACTCCGCCCTCTGGGCACAGTCACACAAACCCAGCACAACAGACACAGCCAGCCCTAAAACCTCTATTGATCTTCACCTTCACCTCTTCCTAACTCAGTTGCCCACCAGTTTTTGACCCAGTTAACCAGGCACCTTCACCACGGGGCGGGGAGGGGGGTGTATTCAAAACAAGAACGTTTCAGCGCACAGAAAAGCAGAGAAGCTGCTCCAGACTAGTTTAATGGATAGACACCTCTGCAGTCTGTGTGTGTTTATATGTATGTATACATATTTATTGCCAATCGCTGAATTCGTAGTCCATAAGACGTATGCGCATATGCTTTCTCGGGCGAGTGTATTATTCGCGATCACACAATTAAGTGCAATAGCGGTGATTATCGACAGGAAGACTTGTTTGTTTGTTTGTTTGTTTCCCATCCTAAGGGAAAATGCAACAATTTAAAAATAAAGTCGCTAATAAAAGAAGGAGTCTTGCTCAATGTTCTTTCTTAAGCAAAACTCTGATGTGGTTCAGTCAAAACGTAACCGGAGTTCAGTGGGAGTTTTGCTTGAGTGAATAGTGAATACATGGTGATTGAGACCTCATATTAATACAAGTGGTGAGGGGGTGTGTACCTGAATCATAATTTCTGACATAAATCTTAATAGTCATCAGAAGAAGTTACAAAGAGCACAATGACGTCCCGGTTAAACTATTTTTTCAAGTATCAGATTGGAAAAAAAAAAAAATCACTCCCCAAACAGTAGTTTTGTGCCATTTAAATCAATTACATTTTTGTGCACTTTCTATTAAACCCTTAATAATAATACATTCCACATAACGGATGATATTTTACTGTAACAAAAGAAAGATATCTAATATGACAAAAATTGGTTGGCCAAATATCGTGTTGAGAATTCGAGTTACTGTTTATTATGCTTCAAACATGTTTGCAAAGGCAGACTTAAAGTCATAATTGGATGTTTCTTGATGAGCAGATTTCTTCTCCTACGATCTACGCGAGCAAAGTTAATCACCTCAAACATCAACTAAGAATATAACAATAGCTCCTTAATTCCATAAAGACTGCCCGTCCCCCATAAATACTCTAAATTAGGAAACGCTAAAGAAACGACGCTGAGACACGGCATCATTCTAGAAATATGCATATTCAAAAGAAAATCCTAAAAGCTTAGCTTGAGGATTTGACATAAAAACCATCACGGAAACAAGTATCAGATAACAGAAACCCTATA